ATAAATTCCAGAAGAGCTTATATTTGAACTGTTTTAGGGGGTTTTCAACATGAGATTTCAAAATAAATTATATAAAACAAATGATTTCTTAAAATATATGCACTATATTAAACATGACTAATAAAAAAGGAGCTATGTTTCCTAGGCACTCTGAGAATACATGTTGGTACTTTATAATAAGAAATGCAACAAGTTGTTTAGTGTTCCATATATTTTTCTATTAAAAAAAAATAACTAAAATTAAAAACAAAATTTTTAAAACATTTTTAATTTTACCTCAATTTTGTGGCATAAAATTTTGATTTGAATTTATTTGAAAATTTTTTGATTGTCTATGAATTTTTTTCTTATATATTTAAATCTTATATAAATTTGCACTTGGACTACTTTTGTCTAGTCGGCAAAGCGCCTTGTGACCAAACAAATTTCCAGGCATTTAATTTCTGTTTCCACCAGCTTGTGGGGATATCTGATAATGTGATCTCCCAATATATACTTTAATATATTTTATCAGCTATAATGGATTCAGTTGTTTATTGCAGCAATAATTACTTTAGCATAACATGAAAATACTCACTTTGACTATTTTTCACTTTCAATGCTTGGTTTGCAATTTGAGTATGTCGGCACCAATGGATGTCTCTTCGTTGGGAGCGCTCGCTGTGCTCTTGACGTATACATTACTTTTGCATAGCGGCGAACGAGAATATTGCCAGCGTCGTCCATTTTGATTTTGACGCCCTGTGAATTTCAGAAGAAAAATTGTAAAAAGAATTCAACCAAAATGTATTTATGTACATTAATTTTTTTTCCATTTTCGAAATTGAGAATGAAATTAAAATTTACTTATAAGAAAGAACCGAAAATGTTTCTGATCAATCAAATTAGATTAGTCAAACAACTTAAAACTATTTTATTCCTATAAGCCTAAGAACCAATATATAGTTTTTGATCTCTCAACTTAAATCAACGAGCAATTACTTATCGCAACACCCTCTCCAATCTTGAGCCCAAATTGTAAGAAGTCACAATTAAATAATCGTAAATGAGCGCGAACGCACGCAAAGTCTAAAGATTTGGTACAACGCAGGCCATGTCCACAACAATATGGCGTTAATTCTAATATCTATTGCTGGCCATTCATTTTTCAGCGCTCTCCCAAAATCATACCAAGATTATGTAAACAAATAGCGTTTGTAACGAAATTCCGAAAATCATTTAGCCCATGGACAATCTACAAAAATATCTCTGTTCTTTGCTATTTTATCGACAGACATTGTTCGCGTTTATTATCTGGTTAAGTATGGCCTGCGCATTTGTGGACACAAATGGTTGAATAAATATCAAGTCAGCGCAGAGATTTGCCTTAATGGACATAACTTGTTCGCTAGTGTGCATACGTTTATTAGAGGCATGTTAGTAAAATTGTTCGACTAAAATGTTATTATGTTGCCACCTGTTTGTAAACTTTGAATAAAAAACTAAAATATATGAATTGAACTAAATAGGTTTAAGAAATCTGGCAGTTGAAAGTAATTTTGCAGTGTTGCCAGATTTTTTACAATTTCAATTCAGTGAAATTGTTGAGATAAACGAATCACTAAAATTTAGTAATCAAAGAAAAGAGGTTTAAGTATTCTTGCTAATGGAAATATATATGTGAGAAAGGTTGCCACTTGTTTGTAAACTTTGAATAGAAAAATATATAAAATAAACAAACACTAAAATATAATTATTATACTTAAGAGGTTTAAGAAAGCTTGCAGTTGAAAATATTTTTGAGCAGTGTTGCCAGCTTTTATAAATATTTATTCAATGAAATAGTTGAGAAAAGCGAGTTATTGCAAAATGGGTATCAACGAGATTTAAGAAGACTTACTGATGGAAATATATATGTGAGAAAGGTTGCCATCTCTTTCAATTTAGTAAAACTTATATGAAGAAGAAGTTACTACAACAAAGGTATAAAACTAAAGAGTTTTAAGAATATTTGTAGCTAAGGAAATGTTTGTTTAAACATTTTTATTACAAAAAATTAATCCACTTTATAGTACCTTAAGCAAGATTGCCACAAAAATTTAATTTTAAAATTATGGTCATCAATCAAATTCTTATTGTAGTAAAGGGTTCCCACCCGTTTGAGTTTTTTTAAACAAATTTATTACCCAAATTCGATGTCGGTTATTTTTATATTATTATAAGTAGTATATTTTTCACTAACATTTTAAATTTCTCAGTTTTTTTTTTGTAATGTTTAATTTGAATTTATTTTATTTGTAAAGAAAGTGTAATCTAAGGCATTGTTTTAACAGGTATACGAAAGAAATTTTTTTTTTCTAAATTGGTTAGATAAATTAACTAAAAATTTACTCTCCCTAAAATCATAGCAATATGATCAAAAACTTCTTTAATAAAATTTTGATCATACATTCAAATTAATGAAATCGGAGTCATTGTTTCGAAAATGTAATTCGAGGTATGGAATTTTGAAGCAAAGGAAAAATAAAAAATAATAATTATGATAATCATTCAAAGTGTTACTCACCTGCCCGATGTGCCGTTTATATTCGTCGGTCTTCTGATCGCGCATTGGATTATCAAAACCACATAAGCCGATGCTGCAAATATAAGAAAAGAATATGTACAAATTAGTAATGATAAACAAATAATGATTAGGTACAAGTATATATGTATGTATAAAAACATTTTAATTTAATTTTATATGTACTGAGCCTTGCGCTGTACAAGTATATTTACAATACAAAAATTTTATTATAATATTTTGTTTTCATCATTTTAATTTTCAAAAAATTATTTTCTTAAATTTAAAATTTATTTATTAGTTTATTTATTATAATTTTTTAGCCACACAACTTGTGAAAACATCAAAAAAAATGTTAGTTAAAGTTAGCTCACAAAAAAAATTAAAAAAATAAAAGTTTAAAAATTATTACTCTTAAAGTAAAATATTTGTTGCAGCAATAGTTTTTAATTAAATTAATTTCTCAAAGCTTATTACCATGCAATTCACACGATTTACATTTTTTTTTAATATTATTTTATTAATTCTTTTTGTTGATAATTGTAATTTTTAAAAATAATTTTCGTAAAATTTTATATAAATTAAATTTATTACAAATTTTTCAAGTCACACTACTTTCAAAAAATAATATTTCTTTTAAATAAAAAAAATTCCACTCTTCCACACTCTTGCATATAAATATGCAAAAAATTACTCATACGCCCTGTCGCCCAATTTATATTTGACACCGAAACTTATGACTTATGCGCCCGCAACGTTGCCTGTCAAATATGTCTGCGCGCAATTATCAAGTATTTATTGCTTATAAGCATATGTACATTCACCATGACTCATGGTATACGCAGAAGGAAAACCTTTTTGAGACACCCCCAAAAACCTGCCAACATTTCTACATCTTGAATTGGCTGCCAAAAGGAGCAGTGCACTAAATTTTTGCCAACCTGCTAACGCTAGAGCAATACTGTAAAGTGTTATAGTTTTAATATACACCTCCACAAGTATAATAACAACAACAAACAAGATAATTAATATAAAACATATATGCAATAAATTAGAGAAACACGCCCACTGTGCCACAAGTGAAGGCGAACGTGCTGCGTTTTTGACTTTTTATTGTTGGTTTTTGGTATATTTTGGGCTGATTTGCACGTGCAAACCTTTGACCATGCAGGAAATGGCAAGATAATAAAACACACGCCACATATTGGTGCAATTATTCATATGTGCATTTGCTGTAAATTCCAAAAAAAAATTTGAAAATTTTAGTGTCACGTCAGTTAGCCGTTTTAACGCCGACGCCACATTAATCATTAGAGCCGCGTTTGCGCACCCCCAGCTATCGGCAGCGGTGACGGTGGCGGTGGCACTCAATCAACGCTTATATGCAAATTTCGTGCAACACCGTATGCAGCTTATCTTGCAACGAAGTTTGACGTCAAAAAGCTTGATATTTATTTTTTTTGTTACTTTTTAATTATTTTTTATTTGTACAGCAACCATTTTGTCGCGTTTAGTGTTGTCGAGAAAAAAAACAAACCGAATAACTGCGCATAGCAATCCAATTTGTTGCTTTGAACAAACGCCGCAATGTGTTGTAACACATGCAACGGCAACGCGCGACATGCCATGTGGTAAATGCACAAGTGTTGTCGCTCTATCAAAATATATATACAAATAACATAATATATATGTATGTATGTGTGCATGTACATGTTGTTTTACTTCGTGGCAGCTGCATTGCGCCTCGTTCGCCGCTGTCAATTTTGAAAGTCTCCTTAATGGACTATTTTATTATTTGATTGTAAACAGCAATTTTGTATGCCATTTTTTGTTTTAATATAATTTATGTTTATTAATATTGCATGTGTGGTACAAAGTGCCCCGCTTACAGACCGTAATGCAATATGAGTCATTGAGAATTTTTAGCACGAAAAAAAAATGGAGTTCGATTTTTTGAGATTTTTGTTGTTATTTTATATCATACAATAAATCTTTTTAAGTCGTAATTTTTTTTAATTACTGAAAAATTTTTGTAGATATATAAATAAATATTAAAAATAGTTTCACTTATGAAAAAAAAAATATATTTAATCAAAACAAGGAAAATCGTAAGCTTCCACGAAGTTGAGAGAGTATAAAAGAACAAAAAGCTTCTAAGAAAGCTGCCAAGACACATTAAGCAAAGTAACCGTTAGTATGACTTTGAAGTAAAGGAAAATTCATTAAAATGTTTTGACATGGTAAGTGGCAGAAATATCTTTAAAAATAACATATTCAACTTATCGATATCTGAAATAGTGATTAAGTTACAACCTTCTAAGTATAGCCGCTCACTTCACTCAGCTACAATAGTTTATTATTAAATTAACATTTTTTAAATTTGCTTGAAGGATTACTCGGAGACAAATGATCGGCTCATTATCACCAAAATTTTGGGCAAAATTCAACCTTTTAAAAGCGATGCCATTTAATTATTTTCGACACTAGGTCATTGTATGTTCTTGAAGAGAATTTGTTTTATCATACAAAATATATTTTTTTCTTTAAATATTTGACAGAGATTTTTTAAAATATTTATAAAATTAATTTTTTTTAATTCCTAAAAATCGCCTGTTTTAGGCTATCACCTAGTGTATTTAAATACTGAAGTTCCTAACGATTAAGACGCAAATTAGACTTTCTCAGTAAAATTAATAAAAAATATGCTTCACGATTTTTTAATAAAATCTCAGCAAATATATATAAAAGATAACAGATATTTTTAAGCTAGCACCTCCTGGCGAATATATTTGCAGTTTTCATGATAATAATTATATTCATAAAATCAAACCAAAAAGTAGTCCTATTCCTTTAGCATTCACGGACTTCAGCGTACAAAGTTTAATTTGTTATATAATATTGATCATTTATTTATTTTATTTCCGATATATTTTTGTAAATGTAGCTTTTTAGGAAGCTTTTTTGAGCTTTCGTACCAATATATCATATATTATTAAAGTAAAGAGCACAATACTTACTTCAGAAAAATATTACTTTTAGACAAAAAAATGTAAAAATACGTTCTTCTAGTTTTTTTCTGATCATATTAGCTCTACTACTTTCAAACTAAAATGTTGCCAACAGATTTCGAAGAAATAATTGTGATTGAATATTTTTAGCGGTAATAACATACTTAAAAATTTCTCAAAAATATAGCTATGATGTGAGTTTTGTAATTTTTTGATGTTTGACGATATTAAAAAAATACTTCAAACAAAAAATAAAACGGTATACAAAAACAAAAACACAAATTTCAATTGTAACTTCTTGATCTCGTCTGCTTCATCGCATGCATACAAAGGGATAAATATGAGTATACTTCTTTATACTCCTCGTATACACATATGCCACATTTTATTATACAACTTTATTCGAATGATTACCAACATATTTTAAAATTTCGTAATCTCTTCGTAAAATGGGACCTGCTACCCAACATTGCAAATATTTTATGCGAAGATATGCTTGTTAATAGACGCCTTAATCGTTGTACCGGTACAAGTTAATTAAAATTCCAAATAAAGATTTTTAATCTTGAACGCCCATAAACGAAAATGACACAAAATTTTTAAAAAATATTAACAAAAAAAAAAAAAAAATATTACATGCTTGGCACGCAAGTATTCAGAACTTTTATAACGCCATTTTATTAGCGTATTAATTAAAAGACACACCGTTAAAGGTAACTGCAACAATTTGTAAGCAAATAAAATGTGTTCTTTAAGTTTTTGTTAACCATTAATTCTTAAGTATCTACTCTTCTCAGCATTGCTGGATTGAGTTTAATGCTCAAACTGACCATACTTGAGGCGAATGATTTCGTATAACTGATAATTCTGCGTTTAACGATTAAAGCATTTGGAAGATAATGAGATAATGACGTGAACGTAGTGGAGGAAGAAACTGCTGAAGATGTTTTAAAAGACTTCAAAAAAAAAAAAATTAAAAATTTTAATTATGAGATTTTTTTTCAAGCAGTGATAATTTTGCCTTTTGATATACAATAGTATACCACCCACAAATCGAATATCTGGTTTGCTAAATGTTCAGCGAAGATCAAAACAGATATTAGCTGCTATTTAAACTGATCAATCCAAATCAAGTTCTTGTATCGAATACTTTTGGTTTTTATTTGGCAAGATATCTTAACAAATTATTATCCAAGACAACGCTACAATCTCTGAACATATTATTAAGATCGGATTACTGTAAAATTCAGCTGCTAGTCAAACTGGCCGATCAAAGGCAAGGTAAAGATCTTTTTATACCCTTTTATATAATACTATAAAAAATGCGCATGTGAAGGGTATTATAGCTGCGGCTATTTTTTTTATTAAAAAAAGTTTTACCACCTACTTGAAAAATGTATTTTATTTCTATATGAAAGGGATAGGTACTAAATGGAAAACATTTAAAAAATATAATAAAAAGGAGTAGCCTTAGAAAATATCAATCCTTATTTTTTCTTATAGCGAGATTGACTTTAAAAAATTCATGGTTTAAGTAACGGGTATAACTAGTCGATTTCGCAACCCATTACTTCGTATTAGCTTAGTTAATCTTCCTACAAAAAATTTTCACAAAGTATAAAAGATAACTCAAAGTTCGGCTCTAATCTTCCAGTACAGATTTACCATATATATATATAGAAGCAAAAGCTGTTAATTTTCTTGTAATCTATTTGAAGGTTTGTATCTTTGCTATGCTTTACTTACCGCTCCGAACAGAACCTTGAACTGCAGAAACCAAAAGAATCAAAAAGCATTTTAACAAATCTAAAAGCATTTACCATTAAACAACAAAAAGAGGTACACTTAAAAACTACCTACAACAAAAATGTAAAATCGAAAATATAAGTACAACTACATAATAGTTGAATTAGCAACATCTTTGACACAGTTTCGAGCGCACCTCTTCTTCTCTTAACGTTTTCTGTTGCTGTTGCTGTTGATGTTGCCACTTGCCACTCGACACTTGCCACCCGGATCAACAATGGTAATTGCCAGCCAAATAGCAGGGCAGCTACAACAACATCGC